CTTCGCGCAGGTGACCCTGGTCGTGTCCCTCGTCGTCGCCTTCCTCGTCTCCGCGTGCCTCCTTGTCGCGTCCGGCGCCGGAGGCCTCGGCCTGCTCCACCTTGTTGCCGACGTCGCCAGGAAGAGCCCTGTTATCGCAGCCCTTGCCACCGGCGCCCGGCCTCTGCTCCGCGTCGTCCTCGAGGAGGATCACTCGCAGTCGCACGGCGCCGCCGCTGCTTCGAGGTCCACGGGGGCGGGGCGCTTCGGCAACATGACCCAGGTAGCAAGCTTCACCGGCGTTGCAGCGGTCGTCGGCACCATGCTTCTTGCCCGCTTCACCCGAAAGGCGCGTAATGCCGCCGGCGCAGGTGGCCGCGGCGCTGCCCCTGCTTCTGCCGCGGACACGCGGCGCGTCGACGGCAAGCTGACGAGGCTGGCCCCGTACCAGGCCGTCGTCGCCTTCGGCCTCCTCTGCTGCCTCGTCCTCACCACGGATGCCCCGCTCGAGAGCGGGCCCGACGGCGCCAAGTACCCATGACCATGCTCTGCTTTGATGTTTGTGTCGACCAGCAGCATGTTCACTTGCTCATAAACGATCGTAAATTTTCAGCCGAGAACAATATTTTTCTCAGTAAATAATCCACGATACGGTCTCCCGAACAGGCTGCTGGAAGAGGAAGGCGGCTGTCGAATGTCGATGTTCCTGCGCCGGCGCTGTTCACGTGGTGGGCCATCGGTGCCGGTGCCGGTAGCGGTATACCTCAACTGCAAGTCTTCAAAAGTAGAGTATTAGCAGGATTTGGGAATCAATCATGCCCAAGTACCATATATGTTACAATACTAAAAAAAAAAAAACTGGACCTGCCAGGGCATCATCGTCCCAGGTATTACATTAAGAAAAAGATCTTCTCACGTAGGCCCAGAAAACCTCCAATTACCCCTGCCCCACCCTTCTTAGACCTGTGCTTTGGCGTGGGACAGATGAAGGGATTTTTTTAACCCCAGTCTGAAATTTACTCCCACAGGGAGTCACACTAAGGACCTGAAAAGTGCTGTCGGAATGCTCTAACCTCTAGACACCCTTTGGCACGTTACGATACTAGCTCATGCAAATTGCAAAACGCACGGATGCCCGTCGCGTTTGTGCACCTGCAGGTCCTCGGACTATTCTATGCGGGCGACATACTCCATATAGGCCATGTTTAGTTCCCCAAATTCCTGAATTTGGCACTATGCAAAAAGAAGATTCCCCGTCACTTCAAACTTGCGGTACATGCATGAAGTACTAAATATAGACGAAATCAAAAACTAATTGCACAATTTGATTGTACTTTGCGAGACGAACGTTTTGAGCCTAATTAGTCAATGTTTGGATAATTATTACCAAATACAAATGAAATGCTACAGTGCGCTACAGTATATTTGGCGGCACCGAATTGAGGGAACTAAACATGGCCCTAGTCCAATCATCAATCAGCCTATCGGGATTCAGGAAAGACACCTTTGCTAAGGCAAAAGGCCACTGCAGTTGCATTGCATTGGTTCATCAAAAAACCGAGCCACCAGTTCACCATAGTCAAATTCCATCCACACACCTGACAGCAGCCAGTGAGTACATGAAGGTATGTCGAGTTTTCAAAGCCTCGTTTTAGTTTCCTTGCATGCTTATCCGATGAATGAAGCGTCGTCAAAAGGCCGGAAACACACACAGTCGCCGGTCACAGTCACCGGCGTCGTCTGGTACTACGCAAAAACGTGTCGGGGGTGGCCGGCCACAGATGAAGCCTTTCGCCGCGCTCGTGGTCAGGGCCGGCGTGTGGGAGACGGTCCAGCATCCGCACCTGACCTCCAAAGCGCCGAGACCCGGACAGGTGATGGGCGGGCGTGGTCCAGCTCCGGCATTCCCTCTTTCCATCCTCAGCTGAAGATCGGAAAACCAAACCAACGCCGAAAAAGAAAGCCCGAAACAGTTGGTGCGACTGTGCCACCAGCGAAGCCCGAAACCTTTCGGATATTCTAGCTTTGTCCTTTGCCTTTTCGTTTCTTTCTTTGACGAGAGGGGCCGAGGCCGAGACTGTCTGCAACACTAGTCACACTCATTGACCACATCTGTGAGTCCACGGTCCACCACCAGTACGTGTCCATCCAATTCAACTGGGTAATCCCATAAGGACGAATTTTTTGCTGTGGCGACAGTATTTAATTGAACATGAATATATACATGATTTAGCATGTACAGTAATAATGATCCAACCAGGCAACCACCTCTACGAGCTTGCAGCAGTTTTAGCGTCGCTTCTAGTCGATGCTGCCTTCACCATACATAACATCATCTAGTCCTCCATGTCACCATGTCGATCCTATCAGCTCATCAGCAGAAGATTATGCTGCAGAATAATAATATTTATCCGAGTTTAATTACGATGCTCCTAGTTTATTTGGCTTATTCAGAGCTTCGTTTCCAGTTTCAAAAAAAGAACTCACTTTAGCTTGGACTCTCTCCAAGTCCGAGCAAGCCGAGTCGAGCAACTTTATTTCGTCCTGCAGAAATGTACTAGCCCCGACAGATTCGGTGACGGCCTTATCTCTGCAGCCCTCGCTTTCGTCACCCACGGTCGACGGAGAACTCATCCTCCTTTCTTTTCGTCCACCTCTTTGTCCCTGTGTGGTCCTGCAGCCTATTCACTTGCTCGTAAATGATCGTAAATTTCCAGTCGAGAACAGTGTTTTTCTCTCACACCAAACCAGCCAGCAGTAAATAATCCACGATACGATACGGCCTCCCGAACAGGCCACTGATGTTTCCACACGTTCTAACGTCCAAGCCAGTTGCCCTGACGCTGACCGGCCGGCAGCCCGGCACGCATACTTTCCCCTAGCAACAAAGGCTGCTAAAGGCAAAATCTATCCCTATTTTTTTCGAGCCCCTTTTCGAGCCCCCCGATCGTGAAATCCTGGCCGTCCGTTCTCCTATAAAGAGCGCCCCCCATCTGGCCATCTGCGAGTGGACATGCAAACAAAAAACATCCCCACTCTGCAACTACTCCTATCTCCCTATTCTTCTTCAGTTCTTCGTCCTCTTCTCCCGTCATCGATCCAAAACGAGAAGCGACCGCCACTCCCCTGCCATGGTTTCGCACGTGACGCTCACCATCCTCTTCGGCTACGCAGCCGTGTTCTGGTGCCTCGATGCCCTTTCAGAGGCCGCCAAGATCCAGACTCCAAGGAGTGCCTTCGTCCCGCGGCTCGCCGCGGGCGCTTTGCTGCCGGCCGTGCTGACCACCTTCGGCCTCACGTCGCTGCTCCTGTTCGCCCACGTTCGCGCGCTCGGCGGTGCGAACGCGGCCACCGGTGCTACTGCGGCGGCCCGGCGTCGACGTTTCCTGGACCGCCTCGCGAACGCGGCGCTGGCAGCGACGGCGGCGGCTCTACTCGCGGGCGCCGTGCTGTGGCTCGGTACCGACGGCGACCTCGGCGGCGCCTGGCTCAGCACAGAGTAAGAACCATCCTCCCTCTTGCCATTGTGAGTGACATCGGGTGCCTCTTGGCGGTGTCGTAGCCAGGACTGGTAGTCTGGTAGGCGTTCTAGTCCTACAGGTTCAGTCACCGTCACCGGTCTGTCTGACACAGGGGAGCCAGGGACTGGATATGCTCACTTGTAGTAAAGCCGTTTGATGCCAGTGTAACGCTGAGGATGTTGTTTTGTTTCCGTCAATATACGATGTTGTTGTTCGATGAGATTTCGTTAAATCTTGTATTATTTTTTTTCTCCTTTCTGTGTGCTTTGAACGATCTAGTAGCACGAAAAAGTGCCAATTTCATTGCAATCTGTGGACAAGAAGGGGTTACATCTATCTGATTTCCACTCGTGTCCGCTCACAGATCTTGAACAGAGACACAGAATCCTTTCTCTCTTGATGACGTTCAAAGCCAAGCGTGGTGCGTGTGTCTGTGTTTTGTGATGCTTGTGTTTTCTATTTGTGTTATAGTCTTTCCCTGGCTACCAGCAGGAGCCCATGTCGTGTCAAAGTGCTGCATAAATTATGCTGATTCTTGTTCTTTCTTGTTTCGCTGGTTACTTTATTGTCCTTCTCAACACACGTTTTTTTCATTAAAAGTTTCCTTTTACTCCAATTTTTCCCCCTTCAACTGGCTAGAATCCATATGTTGTAGCTATACAGTAGTTTTATCTGTTTCATTCACACTTTTCTCTTCTCTACTAAACATTCAAAGCCCAATCTCATGATAGGACCATCTGGTGCGGTTCAGATAACTTCTTTACAATGGTTTCTATTTTCTTTTAACAAAAAATAAAATAATAGGGGTTTTCAGGTCTTCAGTAATCAATATTTATTGTATATATCCCACATCCTTGAGAAAACATCCATGCATGAGCTATAATATATGGGAATAATTTTCGTCTCTGAAAATTAAGTGCGCACTTGGGCAGCCTTCGTTTTCATTTTCCTTTGGGTTTAGCAGAAGCAGCATCACTATCCAAGAACACTCCGAATAATGGTGAAAAAATATACTACCCACGAGCATCGCTACAGTGGATAGTCAAGTCAACAACATTTTCGTACGCTGGACAAAGATTCTCCTCTGTGGATGATCTATAGCCTATCTGAATGATACTGTAGCCCAGGAATTCCATGTTGAGTTGTTGACCAACACAGCATGTTGACCAATAAAACATATAATTTTTTTTTTGATAAGTATTATTTATTTTATTTATTCCAAGAAGCTTCTGCAGTCCGCAGTTCCTGAACAATGCTTGGGACTAAAAGTTCGGCCAAACAGGATTAAATGTGGCTTGAAAAAAAGAAGAAGAAAAAGAGGTACTTGTCAATAAGAATACTTTTCATATTATATAAGATATAAGTTGTCCGTGTTCATATACTTGAGAAGAAGGTGCTAATTAACCGATTACTAACAACACAGAACTACTCGGCCAGCTAGCAGCAGCCGCTACGCGGCCAGACAGCGAAATTGAAGTCCGAAGATGGCGAAGAACGCTTCTAGAAGCTGATCCAGCCTAGCCAGACATTGAATAAGTTAGGGTATGGAAGAACGCTTCTAGAAATCGATCAAGCCGGCCCAGACAGTGAAATTCAGGTCCGGCCAAGGAATAACGCTCAGTCTTCTAGAGGCTGAACTAATATCACTCATCTTGTGTAAATTACTCCCCCTATTTCAAAATAGGTGCATATTTCATACTTCGAGGAATCAACTAATATAATAAAGTTTAACTAGATTTATATAGCATTTGTATCTCTAAATAGGTTTGTATTATAAAAATATATGACATGATTAATTTAATGGTGCAAATATTAACATTATAAATATGGATATTTTTCTATATTGGTAAAATTTAAGATTGTTTGATTGTTCGAAGTGCAAGATATGTACTTATTTTGAGACGTTGAGAGTAAATAGAGCATATACGGTACCTGAGATCTCTACAACTTTGCTCTGGTACTTGGCGCCTACCTTCCTCCTGGCTTTTGGTGCAGCCCTGAACATCAGTGAACAGTCATCTTCCATGTCCAGACAGTCCAGTACGTCTACATCACAAGTCCAACCGCCGAGACACGATCGGATCCTTTTCTTCTTCTTTTTTTTCTTCTTGTTGTGCCTGTCCAGTCCTCCAGGCTCCAGCCTTCCAGAATCCCCATGGAACCTTGGCTGCTCCTTCCCTATGCTCTGCGGTTGCATGCTCTGACGATTGATTGATTGAGGCCATTGTAAACCAGCTAGAAGTGGAAGAAGCAAACACTGCAAGCTGCTCCTTACAAACTGCATGCACGCTCTAGCTTTGCTGTCCATTGCTCATGCTCTCCCGATGAGCTCCGCCGATCATAAACATAGATAGACATCAGCAGCCATGAAACCCGTTACCTCGCTAACCCATTTGTGGATATGAGATCCTGGCTTACTTTGTAGCCAGTAACTTGTGCCTCACTTGGGAGCAAGGAAGCCAAGAAGCTCATCCGTAAGCTAAAATGTGACGGACCTCTCGAAGTTTGCCGAAATGTAGCAGCGGCAGCCGCTGCCCGCCCGCTGCAGACGGAGCGCCCCATATATATGGGGATCGGAGATGCCCAAAGTCTGCTTCGTGTAGGACATGTCACTTTCACGAATGGGGACGGAGACGGGAACGATAGGCTGGAATCGTCGAAAAAACAAGCAGATGGAGAGACTTTTTGGTGCCTCGACGAAGTTTCTTTCTTGGAGACTAAGGCTCGACTGTCGACGCCGGAAATTTCCATGAAGCTTCCGCGGGGCATTTTCTAGTCTCAAGGAAACTTCCTGGAAGCTGCCTGCGGGCGGAGCGGAGGATGGATGACAGTGACGCCGAACCAGGACGACCACCGGAGGGAAGTTCCATGGGAACTCTTTCGCCGTGGACGAGGACGACGGAGGGTTTTCATCGAGGGCTGTGAGCCCGCGAGAACGAGGGCTGGCCCGTCTGGGTGTTGTTGTTGCATTGGCAGCACCGGCACACAACGCGTATCTTCCTTCCACGCACTGATGACATGTTAATTGGATGGTGCTGCATCGATGGCTCAAGTGGACTGCTCTTTTTTCGTCCGGCAATGATTCCTAGCTACTTTCCTTTTGGAACGGTGGTGAGACTGGTCTTGAAACTCAAACACGCGCCGCCGGATCGGATCAGGTACCTGGACGACGACGTATTGCTTGTCCTGGGACGGAAGAAGCGATCATACTTACCAAGTTCGATCGATCCCCCCGTCGGCTTTGGGCTTTCGCTCCGCAGTGACGACCAACACCAACGTCTCGCAACTCCGGAGTCCCATCATGAAGGGACGGGAAAAAAATTGGTCGGCCGTGGGCCAATTCGATTGAGTCGTAGTGCTGTTCGGTGGAGCTTCAGCATGACGAATGACCACCACCACGTACATGTACGCACGTGTGCAACCGCGGTCCGGTCACGGCAGCAAGCAAAGGTTTCTTCTCCCTAGACTTGACGTCCAGGAGAATCGATCGTCGGAACAAGAAGAGCATCATCCATGCGGCGGCGGCGCGGTGGGCCGAGCAACTAGCGCGGTCGATGTCAATCTCCGTACAACTAGTGCCGTCTCGTAATAGACAGCGCAAGCATTGGTGGCGATCCATCAATTAGATTAGAAAACTCTATCTTTTCTTTATATAAAATGCATGGTCGGTGTCAATCTTTCGGTCGTGTTCTTCCTGAGCTTTTTTGTTCCATTCATGGTCATCGGTCCCCGCCAGCGACGAGTTGCGCGCGGTTGGGCCAGGGCTGCAATTGACGAATCCGGGGAAGCGAGTCGGCTCCGATGAGATGCTGCCCCGTTGAACCCCTCGCTCCCTCCTTTATTACCCTCCAGCTCACTACGTTTTCATCTCCTCCGTTTCCTCCCTCTTGTCCCTGTTTCCTCTCCTTGTCTTTTTATCGTCTCCACGTCGGGGAGGAAGAGCCGTGAGATTGGTCGGCGGGTTTCCCCAGTTTCCTCTCCCCCATCTGCTTCCTCTGGTTCCTCTCCCCTGTCTCCCCTATCTCGTCTTTCCCTCTGGTTCGGTCGCTCCTTTGCAGAGGCCACCGCCGCCGTTGTGCCTATGTCTAGTGTCTCCATGACGCATGGATCCAGTGAGGGGAGAGGGAAAGGGAGAAGGTCGACGCCAAGAAGAGGAGTACCGCCAGATCCCAGGGCGTCGAGTTCTAGCGCTCATGAAGCTGCCCGCGTTGTGGAGGTGAGTACAAAGCTATTGGAGCTAGGGTTAATGAGTGGACTATACTAAATTTTGATTGCAACAGGGATTCATTTGATTTTTTATCAAAAGTTGTCGATTTGTTATAGCTTGAAACATTGCTCGAAGAACATTCAGAGGGGGGAAACTGAGGAGAGGGAAACGCCGTGAGCCTCTAGTCGATAGGTAAAGGAGGGAGCGAGGGGCAGGAACGTCATTTCGCATGTATGGTTAGCCACGTGGCAAGCCATGAAGGGGGATGGATGAGATTGACCTGCAAATCCATTGTTTGAGGACAAAAGTGGACACTTTTTAAGTTTAGGGACCAATCTGAGCCTCAGACGATAGTTTAAGGATGAAAATGGCTATTTTGCTGGAAAAAAAAGGCAAAGATCAACTGAAGATCCCAGTTGTAGACAAAATTTGGTAGCTGCGTGTTTGGCAGCTCAAATCAATTATTTTGGTAGTAGGGTACAGACGTGCAGTCTATTCAGACGACGGAATAGTTTGGAAGGTTTAATTTTATGTGTGCCACCACCACAATCAGAAAAGAAATTTAACGCACACAGCGCATACGCAGAGGAGTCGTCAAAGGAGAAACATGCCCTGACCGGTTAATGATGAATTGGTGACACCAGAAAATCTCGTCCCTATCTTTTTTTTTAAATAAAAGGCAGGAGCTCTGCCGCTTAATTAAGCCGAAAGAATATTATGTACAAGAAGGTTAGCCGGACGAGATGCCAGAAAGGCACCCGAAGGGCTAATCACCCCACGCGACGCAGTTGAGCACTAACACGACACACTGCCATAGGTCATCGTTGTCGAGCATGGAAGCCAAGCCGCCAGCAGCTCCGACTTAGTCACCCCCCGACGGGTCTGAAGCTAACGGCGGCTACCGGTCATCGTTGCCAAGCTCAAACACCGAAGAGCAGCTCCGATTTCCAATCGCAAATCATCGCCCCGCATCGAAACCGCGATGGACTTCGTTCTGCATCGCTTATACCCTTTTCAACTACGGCAGATTTGGCCAGATGCCGCCTTTTTAGCTTCACTGCAAACTCCTTGTAAAGCTGCTGAGTGCTGAGGAAAAGGGAAGCTTCCTCTTTTTGTCTCACATGAACGCGAGTACGTAAGAGTAAGATCCTAACGACCATCAAATGATGAAAGCTGCTGTTCTCGGGGGAAAAAAATCAGTGGTAATAAGTTTTCGTCGCTATCTCTGGGGAAAAAAATTCATGGGGGTATTTTTGAAGAAACGCGGATGCTGTTATCCGGCCTCTTTTTTATTTCTCACAATGACGAGGACCAGAAGAGACAACGATGTCACGCCTAAAATTCAAACAACCCGTAAATGAAACCTACTCTTTGGTAGCGGCATTCCAGTCATTCAGTCAATGGAAAATGACATAGAGCGCGTATATATACACAATCTCGTAAGCAGCTTTGCATTGCGTTGATCCCTACTACTAACTCCTATCTCCGCCAACCAGCAAGCCGCCCTTCCCGATCCCTCCGCGCCTCGGGATCCTCCCCAGCCGAACACCATGGTGAGCGCTTCCGCCGCCTTCGGCTTCGCCTACCTCTACCTGTGTTTGGCCTTCGCCGCCCTCGAGCTCTCCACCTTCCTGGACTCGCAGTGCGGTGCCGGCACGGGCACCACGACATGCGCTGAAGCCCCACTGTTCCACAGCGCGGCCGAGGTTTTGCCGCCGTTGGCTGTGGTGGTGGTCCTCTTCGTCGCCGTCGCGCTCACCTACCGTCACCTGAGTCATCGCCACGCCTACGCCGTCCCCGTGGCCGGCGCGGGAAACGGGCGGCGCTCGATCTCGGGGTCTGGGCTCGTCATGTTCGTGCTATGCGTCTCCGCTGGCACGCTCGAGTTCATCGTGTTCGGGGGGCAGGCTGCCGGTGGTGGTGCCGATCACGGCGCGCTCGGCCTGGCTGCTCTCCGCGCGCTGCCTGCCGCGGCGACGGCCACGTTCTTTCTCGGGATGATGCTAATCATCGTCGCACACGTCCACGCCGGCGGTGAGGGCGGCGGCGGTGCCGTCGCCGCAGACGGACTGATCCAGGGGCTCCTGCGCCTCCTCACCAAGGTCGCGGCCGGAGCGGCGGCGGCGCTCGTCGGTCTCATGGCCTTGACAGTCACCCTCTACGGCGCCAAGTAAGTTGCCCCAAACTCTGCCGCCAATCGACCTTACCATTCCCGGCTGCCCCGTGTGCCCGCGCACGGCGCATCCGCCCTTCGCGGCTCCGCCCGTACCGCAGCCCCGCTTGCCGCCTCGGTGTGCCGTGCGCCCGTGCATCTTCCCCGGCGTCCCCGGCTCCCCGTTCGCCCTTAACCCCAAACCCCTCTTGTCGGCACGCCTCCGCCTAAACCCCGTTTTCCGTCCAGCTCCTCCATCTTCGTCAGGTACCGGCCCGCGGACGACACTATCACCTAGCCAACCATGGTACCGGCTCATATAACCGTGGGAAGAGACAAGGCGATAGGCAATATAGGCGACGCCGCGACGGCATAATCCCGGTGACTCGATCGGAGCAGTTGGTGGTGCCGGCTACAAGTGTGGTCGAGGTGCGAGTGTGGCTGTGCAGCTGATGTCTCCTTTGCTTACCCATGCGGCGGCCATAGGTACGTGCAGCTGCAGAGTTGCGTCTGGTCCATGGTGAACAGCTCCGATCGATTGAGTGAACAGTTCGGGCTTCAGCAGCAGCAGACACACGCCGCTCTTGTCTTTGGCTGTCAAGTGTCACCTGCATGGCGGCATCTTAGACTGAGTTCCTTTAATTTAGTGGTGCCTCCTGGGAGGAGTCAATTATCTATTGCAGCGCCGTGGCATTGCCGGTCGCTTAATTACCACCATTGTTTTGTTGCCGGCTTGCCGCACTGCTTCATCGTGCTCAACCTTCTCATTCCCCCTAGAACGGATAGATGGTTAATGATCAGCCATCACAAAGCCTTTTGTTGTACATTTATACAATCGTCTTTACAATTGATTGTTTCTCCCTTTTGCAATATTCAAGATTGGTGTGGTGGTTGCATAAAGATGATAAAATGTGGTCAATCTTGTGTTGTGTCTTGCAGATGCTAAAAA